TGGCCCATAAGCTCCTGCAAGGCTAAAGAAATTCAATTTTAGGTTAACTTGATAGCCTGAAAAAACATGAAGATAAGAAAAAAAAGTCACTGCATGATCATTTCAGGTATTTACACTTTGTACTTAAACTTTGTTTAGGAGTAGGCTATCTCTGCTCTCTCCAGTTTAAAGCTGCATGAGTGAGAAATAATGGTTGGAAAAAAAAGAATAAAATAAATGCTGTTAGGATACAGAGTGCCAATTTTCTATTTAACTTGTTTCATAGTATTTCTTTGTTGACTTGATGTTGTATTATGCACAAAATACACTATATTCTCTTCATGACCTAAATGTCAAACCCCTAAAAGTCCAAGTCATGTTCCCATACCAATTATAACCTAGTGATCTAGCCTATGAGGCCAGTGGAAGGAAGGATCCCATGTGGGATTGTTTGCTTATGGCAAAGTCTGCGAAGTAAGATTTGAGTAGAAGGAAGCATTTGCACTTTTGAATTTGGTCCATTCTCACCCATCGTATCAGGTATTACATCTGCCTAAATAAGAGTTACTAACTTGGCCAAGACGCAGTACCAAGAACATTTAATCATAAGCAACCAGGTGGCTAAAAGGAAGAGAACACACAAATGCAGATGCAAGATTTGGCACAGCAAAATACCAAACAACTAAAATCAAGACAGCTATTAGAAAAGAGGTACTGCTCACATGGTAGTTGGAAAAGAAGTGAATTAGAAGAAAATGCTGAGTCAAGAGAGAAGGTGGGAAGAAGAGAGCTGGGCGCATCCATGGAAGAACCAGCCCCGGGGTAGGGGCAGCTGCTGATGGAGTCGTGTGCACAGACAGCCAGCAGTGGCACAAACTGCATCTCTGACTGTCCACATTACCGACCTCTTGGACAAGATGACAGGGCTACTTTGCTTCATAAGCTCCTGTTAACAGGATAAGTAAATCAGGTTAGTATTCCATCAGGCACTGTATACTTAAGAGGTATGACTGTTACCAATTCAGACCTGCAAATATTCCTATTATGGGAGAGGAGAAACAAAAGATTTTCAGTTAAATATATCAACATAAATACATAATTACTCAACTGGTCAGACAAATTCAGTCTGACTGCAACAAAATCCAGTTATAGCTGTGCATTTATTGTTGCCTAAAAGACACTGGTTTGCCTCTGGGTAATATTCACCATGGAAATATTCTGTATTAAAACTTGAGTTCATCAATTTCAAGTAACTTGCTGCATTATAAAGCCAGTTTGTATTCATAATTACTTACTGTGACTTGTTCAAACTTTTTTTTTTTAAAAACGTTAAAACTGATCTTTAGTACCCCTTGTGTTCCCTCCTGAACACACCTCATAGGCAGCGGTCCTGGCTTTCTGTCCTTCCCACTCAGAAGCATCATCCAACTACTCTGACTAGATCTGAGATACTCTTCTTCCTTTTCCACCCTTACTACTGCTCCCGCTGCCTTTGCGACACGTAAGCCCTTTCACTCCAGTACTCTGAAAGCCAGCAAGTCAGTTACTAAACTCAAATTACATTTTCAACATTCTTTATTCTTTTATTCCCCTGCTGTAAGTACAAATCAGCACAGACAAAAATAACAAAAAAGCCTTTATGTCTGGGTCATTATACCTTAAGATATCCTTGCCAGTGTTTGCAAGCTTTTCTTAACCCAGCTGAACTGCCAAATCAGACTGGGAGAAACACCATCGTGTCTGCAGTGTGCTCTGTGTGGTCCAAGGCTTATCACCTGCTTAACACTGACAATCCATTCCCTCCTCCTTCCAGCCAGGAAGTCTAAAGCTTAGCTCTCCCTTCTTCTGTAATCTAGCAGTGGAAAGAATATTTTCAGACTGCAAATAATAAAAATGAAAAAGCAACTTTTATATTGTTTTTTTCCTGGATGCCACTCATGATTTTCACTTTTTACCAGGTTATTCCCTGGCTTCAACAATCATACTTGTTCTGACCGATTGTCATCGGATTATCTTAACCATGTTACATTAAGCAGATACGTTAATCAGAAGTTGATTAAATTATGCATGGCTATAGCTGGATTGTGGGTGGTCTGCCTGGCACTGGACGAAAGAGTCCCAGAAGTGTCCACACTACACAGAGCTTTCCTAATCTCAACTCTGCCTTACAACCATCCTCTCAATCACCTTCCTTACCACCCCTTCTGACAACCATCTTCTCAATCCTCAGCTATACTGAAGAGCAGATGCTCTAAGATTCAGTCATTGTCCAGCTCTTCCTTTTACAACCCAAAGCCTCTGCTCAACGTTGATGAAAGTGGCTTTAATTGCTGTACAACTCTCCTTCCACATCCACCGGGTAACACAGGAGGAGCCACTTGTCATCATACAGTATGACAGTACGGTCACTTGTACAGTATTTATCAAGTATGTGAAAAGCACAACAAAATAGATGAGATACATTATTGTGTTAAGTGACCTTGAAATAAACCAGCAGTGGTAACATTACTCCATTAGAAACATAGAATCTGTACTTACTATATATTAAAACATAAGTCACCACTTCACACCAAGTGTTATGTGGCACAGTGGGAATTACAACCTGAAACACAGAGTTTAATCCTCAAATGCAAATATTTAAGTGTTCAATTGTCAGAAGACTCTGTTTAAAGACAGTATGATCTGCAGCTAAAAGCAACTACTCCAGCAGCAAGGGTTATCATGCTGCCCAGTCACTGTGTTGCACTTGATCTGCATTCATTCTTTTAGAAATTTGTCTCCAAAGAAACCCAATCCAAGATATCAATATACAAAAACCCAGAGGTAATTCTTTGAGGTTTTTCATTGTTCTGCACAGTTTCCAAGTTAGAAACTTGTTTAAGTAAAATTACATGTAAATGCAGCAGGCTTTTCTAACAGATTAATCAGAAATGAAAATGCTGAAGTAATGCTATAATCACTAAAAAGTAGAAAGCTACCTGCCAAATCAATACAAATGCTAAAATATGCAGCATAATACAGATGAGCAATGATATTTGTAGAGGTCAGCTTTCTTGTGAGACTCGAGTATTTACACTTCTAAAATATGGAGAACTCATTCTTCTCTTGATGTGATAATTTACTGCATGATTTGTTCAATATTAATACATTTAGACAATTTAATGAATGGAATATGAGAAAAATACTGAAGGAACAAACAAGCCAATGCAGCAGTTATTAATAAGAACAGCTGGGTTGAGTAGTGTTACTGGTTCTTTGCTGCAGCGATCAAGTCAATTGTATGCCTGATAAAAGCTGCACTTTAGAGACTGAAGACTGCTTTCAGAAAATACAACATGGGAGACTGGAGCTAAACGAAAGGAAAGACTATTCCATGATTGATTTCAATATATATATATAAAATGACTTGGTCTAGATCTGTATTGAGTGATAATTTGCAACCTAGTGTAATATTCTAAACCCCTTTAGATTCAATTTCAAATAAACCACAGCAAAGAAAGGTCTTGGTTTTTGAAGAAGCTGTTAGACTGGATAACATTTCAAAGTTACAATGTGAAACTATTCAGCACACAGCACCCAACCCTGCGCTTATCCCTGTACCACCCACAAGTGTGGATACAGAAAGTAATGACATTGGGCAGCTTTTGCCTTGCACTTAAAACTGTCAGTTTACCTGAAATAAAATAAGTGAAAATATAAAACTCAGATGAATGTAAGCAGGCAACAGTGACTTGTAAAAGAGGTCTGTCAAAGGATACAGAAATCCATAGAGGACAACTGCAGTTTCATATCGCCAAAGCAAAGAAAGGCTGAGAACTTTGTGATGAACTCAGTCTGGAATACTATCCAAATCCATGCAAATCTAAGGTAAAAAAAATGAACCTGGATGTACTTTAATTAAACATTACCAGATGGCCAGTATATAGATTTTTGTCAGCCTTTGCTCTAAGTGAAATTCAAACATGGAAAGCAGAAAATCTACAATCTGCACAGTCCTGTATTTTCTTGGTACAGAAATATGGAAGTGATCCTTAAAAAGTACACCCAAAACATATTTGGAAATTTTCTTATTTAACAGCTGTTTCAAAAAGTTACAATTATTTGGACTGTCCAGTGGTAATGACAGCCCGTCGTGCATTAAAAAACTGCAGGAGGTCCGTAAGAGTGAAAGTCTAAGCGAATCGTCTTCAATGCAGGGAAAGGGGAACAAAGTTCAGGCCAGCTTTATTCTGCCAATTGCAAGACATTCCAGCTGTCTGAGCTGCTTACAAAGCAGGAATCTAGTTGATATAGGTTATCCCAAATGGCATATATCATTGAATTATTTATTTTTAAATGAATAATTGCAAAACTATATCCATGGGAAGTTAAGATAAGTATTTACAGTGCTACAGTTCTTTGAAGGCGCTCCCCAGCTAGGCAGTCTGTCATGTGTACCAAATGCATGGCGATTAATCCACAGTCAAAGACAGTAATTGCAAGTTATGTATCTTTTAGAAGTTATAATAGGGCTGCTATCTGGGCATTAGCTCTCTTTTAGCAGAGAGGCCTTAAAGGTACAAGTAGTAAATTAGACCTAATGTTTCCATGGCTAATGTTCAGATTAATAGATAGTTTCATTACCTAAAATAAACATTTTTCCTCTAAACATTCTTTTTCACTTCTCTGGCATTATTGCTAGCTTTTAAAGCAGTTACTAAAAATAAGTTCCTGAGGGTCACTATTTTGTTCAAGTACAAGATTTATAAGCTAAGCCAGACTGCCATCCTTCACTCTATTTTAGTTTGCTTCTGAATACAGTTTTTTTCCCTAAGAGTAAAAACACCCATAGTGAGATTTTGACTTTCTTTAATTTAAAGATTGTATTACAGAAAAGTTTAAGTAAGGAATCCTTATAAGGATTAACTCTTGACATAATATATTGCCAAGATACAGTGTAGCTGCAAGGGCTCTATGTGAACCTTCATATAAGTTGCTTTCTTACATACACAGTCGTTGAACAACAAAAATGGTATTTACCATTTGTAAGAGAAGACAGTGGTATTTAAACAGTCCTTTTACCAGTGTGTTCTGGTTTTCCCAAATTAGAAACATGCCATATTAAAACTGTAAAACCCTATTATACAGAAAGTTGACAGATGAATTTTCTAAAGATTGCAACTGATGAAACATTAAAATGAAAACTAAGGAGTGTTGATTACGTAGAATGGTTTCTCTTTTACTGGCAGGTCAAATACACTAGAAACATACAAATATTTTTGATAATCTAATTCCAGATGAACTCAAAACACTGAAGTAAGATACACAGGCTAAGAGAATTCAATACTGTTCCAAGGCACTTACTGAATCTCCATGACTAGATGAAAACCAGAACAAATTAGGTCTGACAATTAAACAGTATATAATATAAAAATAACCTTTTGCTTACAATTTACAAAATGTATTACAATCTTTATCTCTGCTAACCTGCAATTCTGGCTGTGTGTGTCCAGCAATTTTTGTAAAAAACCCCAGAAACTATTTTCTAAAACTTCAGGGCAAATAATTTACAAATAAGGTACACAAAAATTTAGATCATGCAGAGATTTCTTACATCTTCTGTTAATATTTTATGATTGCAACTTTATCAAATTATATACTTACTTGCCCTGTACATATACAAAATAATGCATACATAGTAATCAAACATTAGCAAAAAGTAGTCCATAAACACAATCTGTCAAAAGTATTACTATATTAACATATGTCTACAAGCAGCGTGTAACAGGGTTAAAAGACATTAAGGCAATAATACTTGAAGTTACAAAATAAATCATATGTAATACTTTCTCCTAAGTGTAATAAGGCAGGTAGATGGCCCCAGCGAAAAGTTAAGTTGTAATACTGGAATCCACTGTTATGAACAATGTTTAAGGTTTTGCATGGGATGTACTGTAAGAGTGTACCATTTCTAGTTAGATCTACACTGCTCTGTGTTAGTCGCCCCCCAAAAAAGTGGAATACTATTTTTCTAGTTCTCAGTGGCACTTTAGTTTTCCAGTATAATTTATTGATAGTATGTCCATTGGTTCTTGGATCATGTCCATTCTGAAGGTGGCTCTCTTGGTCCTCTGGGCTTTCCACAGCGGTTACCAAAACCTAAGGAAAGAAATTTATTTAAATACTTCTGTCCCCTCAGACAACGCAGTCTCACAAATGTTGGCAGCAGTCAGAAGGACCACTGTAAGACATGCTCCAGCTCTTACGGAAGAGGTTTATTCTCAAGGCTAGAAAATGACTTTGTAGTATTAGGACTTCTAAAGGCACTATGGCCATAGGAAATACAAACATGAAGAATTCGTATATAATTATAATTCACTATTTAAACCTCACTTGGAAAGTACTTCTCAGTAAATACAGTATTACAGCCTTTGTTATAATTTATTGATTTTTTTTCCTTCTCTGTGTACCAAAGCAGTTTCCTCAGGTATTATTTCTGAAAGTTTTCAGTGCTCTACAGAAATTATATCCCATTTGACTAATTCTGTATTTCATACACTGTAAAAAACAAAGTGAAGAATGCCCAAATCATTTATTCTGGGACAAACTCTTTCAGCAATGCTGAAAAGACAAGGCAGGCTTACTTGTCTTGGTTCTGCACCTCAGCGAGTTGGAGGGAGATAGTAGTAGCAGCTATCCAAACTAGTACTGTTAATGAATCTTCTGTTTAAATTATCTAGTGATTATGTTTTGAATGAATTGTAATTACCAATATCTGTTACTTCTGCAGGAAATTCTGAAATTTGACCTCTTATATCAGTGGAACCAGAAAAAGAAATCTGAGGTAAAACATCAGTTGGTGTTTTGTTGCTTCTTTCAGGACGATCTGGAAAACACACACACCTCCCTTACTGTAACATTCATTTAGTCAGCACTGTGTGAATGCTATTTTGAAGTACAGCTCAGTCCAGAACACAACTTGCATCAAATATTATGTACAAAAATAAAGATTTAAAAGCCAATATCTCATTTCTTAAAAAACATATTTCAAAATTGTTTATGAAGCAGATGTTCAATGACAGTGACACGTTCCTGTTTGCCAAATATGTTTGTTTTTTTTTTTTTTAAAGTTTGTATGGATATTTAAAATCCCATGTAGCACCTATTTATAGCAAGAGCTTACAGTACCATTTAATACATCAATATAAATGCATCTGTTCATGTTCTTTCTAAACTAAAGGTGCTTAAGAAGACATAAGTAACTATGTGTTGCATTACTTGTATAATCACCCTATTAGCAAATCTGTAGTATTTCTGAAAACTGATTTATTTAAAAAAAAAAATCTACCAGCTATTTAACTTGCAGCTCCAAATGGACTGTACAAGCCCATTCAAGCATACGTAGAAGATACATGGCAGACATAAGCTTACATCTAAAGCATATTGCTGCAAAGTTAAACATCAGCTGATCTACACTTCTTACTGAAGCCTTTTCAGAAGATCAAAAATTAAAGACTTTGTTAAATATGCAGCATACATACATATACATACATACACACACACACAAAAAAATACATACACACACATCACTGCTGAACTTATTTCAGGTTTACGCCTGTCTTTATGAAATTAAAGAAATTAATTCACTAACTTTTACAATTTCTATTGCAATAACATGGGAAGGTTCTAATTAAGTTGAAAAAATATTGTTATTATAATATGCATTTAAATTCAGTATTTTTGGTCTTCATTATTTTAGCACACCCAAAGTTTAACATCAATTTTTAAATTAGATTTGTAACTTGCTTTCTCAGAAAACCTTAGAAGCTTTAAACACAGAAGGCCAATGTTTTGACAATATACTTAGATCTATCTTCAGAGCAAAAGCCAAGTTCAGACAAATTTTTGTTCAGTAGGAAAAACGTATTTTGAAGTAAGAGATGGGCTTGTTGCAAGACTACTGTAATTTTTAGCGATTTGTCAATGAAATTAAAGCATCATGGGTTGGAAGTAGCTTTTGAAGTAATCATATGTATACATTTATTTTAAGGTTAGATCATTAAATATTTGTGAATTTCCGGGAGAAAAATTTCTCCCTGGTAGTTTCTAGTCTTCTAATAAAAATACTCCCAAAACACTTTATCAGTTCAAACTCTTAGGTTACTTGAACTTTCCATTTTTAGGGGGTTACTGGACAGATTAACAAGTGGAAAAAACACTCCTTTTCGAATTAAAATAAATAAATAAATAAACAAATCAATCTTTTCCATCACTTACCAGGTAGTACAGGTGAAGTTGTTTTCAAACCCTGTTAATGAGAAATATTTATTCTACAAAATGCTTCCAAAATACTAAAAGAAAACCAGAAATTTAAGATGATGAAAACATCTTCAAAAAATACACATCATCTGTGGAAATATTTATTTGTTCCTACATTTCTGACTTGCTATAACACTGACAAAAAAATGCTACAGTAGTTAATAAAGAATTTACTATCAGAACCTTACTTAATATTTAATAAAAAGTTAAAATTGTCACATTACAAATTATTTGCAACATTAGGTAGTTTAGTTCCCATACTAAATTTACAGTCCCTGAAAATCCACACCTATCTTTTTTGTCAAATTTTTAAGTAGTGTGTAAAGGTGGCTGTAAAGTGTATTGGGGGTGCATGAAAAAAAGGCATGAATGTAGAAAGGATTTATATGCTTTTGAAGTTTTGCCAGCTGTTATGCTGGATGACTTTGAGCAACTAGTAGACTGATGTGAAAAGTGAAATCTGATGGGCAGAAAAGGGTTTGTTTAAAATAAATATGGATACAAGGAAAAATTTATCAGGCAGTGAAACAGGTTGCCCACAGAGGATATGAAGTCTCCATCTTATCCAGTTGGCTCTTGAACTGGATAAAGCCCTGAGCAAGCCTGGTCTGAGTCCCTGCTTCATGCAGCAGGTTAGACTAGAGACTGCAATTCTCCTCCAGCTTGAATTAGCCTATGATCAATTAAGGGCAGACAGCAAGCTCCATAAAATCAGCATATTTACACTCTTAAAAGCCATAATTTAAGGTATATTAAAGATGACTTTTTCTGAACTTGGAAAACCAGATAGTTTTCTTGGAAAGAAAACATGCTGCTAACACATCAGTTCAGCAGCTCAGGCAGAGGAAAAACTGGCTAGTTGTAGATGATCAACAGCTGTAACTTTTCACAAGTATGCATTTTGCTTTTAGTTGTAGCTCCCAACCAAACTAGAAATGACTGATTAGTACAGACTTACTGCAGAGACTGTTTGTTCAGGGAGATGCTGATCACGCAATATGCTCCACTCAGACTGTGCAATCATAACTGGCTTCGGCAAGGGTGTGCCTAGGAAAAATTAAATCAAACTCAACATACTTTAGTTCTCTCTGTGATGCAGCATTAGAACACAGCATTAGATTTGTGCTATAAAGCAACTTTTTAAAAATTAAATGCTTGTAGAAACATGAAGCTCTCTTTACATGAAGAGCTTTCAAGATAAGGGAAGACTCCACAACATAATCAAAACACAAGACTGCAGCGTTTGCATTGTGGACGTTCATTTCCTTCATTTGGGGTTTCCTAACCAACAGGAGAATTAGCTTCTTTTTCAATAATGTTTTAAAAATTTTGTAATACCAGCTGTGCTATAACAGTAGATCTGAAAAAGACATACTAAGTAAAGAAAACACACAAGTCAGGACAGCATACCTGTCCTTTACTGACATCATGCAAAAACACAATCAAAATTGATGTGGTTTGAGTGATTCCAGTCCCAAAGAGATGTTTTTTCTTTTCCTTTTTTTTTCTTAAGAAAAAAAGCTTTGTTTCTTGTGTCCTCCCAGAAAAGAAGAAAGTCCATAATATCCAAAGAAAGGATCACTTTGCCTCTGAACTACCAATGCTTATGACGCTCAAGGGACATATTTACAAAACTTCAATGTTTTTATGCTGAAAGTATCTGTACTAACTACTTTGGCCAAAAATTTTTGAAAGTTTCACAAAGTAACACGGAACAAAAATCTCAGTAAATCATTTGTAAGTGTCAGTTTTCTCTTTCAGTTAACCTTTTGACACAGGCAAAGAGTAAACTACATTAAACTTATATAAACTGGGCTTGTTCACTAGATGCAGTGCAGTATTAAATGCCATCATCTTTCCTTTGCCCAGGAAAGGAGAATCAGATAAAGGAGAATCAGATAAAGGAGAATCAGATAAAGGAGAATCAGATAAAGGAGAATCAGATAAACACTGTTCATGTGTTTTCCCATTCCCTACCTGGGAGCAGTAGGAAACTACCTAAAATAGCTGGGGAATCCCCTAACTGTATTGCATTTTCCCCCTGTATCTCATTTCCATACCCTGATTGGAAACCAGCTCCACTAAAATCAATACTGGAGTCTCCAATATACTTAAATATCATGTAACAGCATGCTTTGTGAGAAAATGAGAAATAATTTGACTGTGTTCAAGGGCTTGTGAAAGTTAAACCTCAAAATAAGCCATTACACATGCTAGATTTCATTCCATTTCACAACTTGCTCCAACACTTTAAGATTAACCAAAAAGCAGGGGCATTAAAATAGAATACTGAAACGCATTTCACATTTTATCCCCAATTATCACAAAACATTAAAAACTCACTCTGTTCACTTGCTAGTACAAATGATTCTGGTGTTCTCTCTGGGAGTGGGGGAGAGGAATCTTCACTGGTATCGGCATCTAAATCAAACACGAGATTTAGATAAGTTAAAAAACACACTTAAATTTTCCCTCTAGATTTTTAGAAGTTGATCTTTTGATAAGTGAGATCACCTAAACTTTGCATGAAATTTAAAGCAATAGGAAAATTTGCTCTAAATGTTATAAACTGTTTTGTTTTACCCTGCTAACGCCTTGGGAGCAACTCCATGCTAACAACGCTATCTTCACTTTAAGGGGCTAAGAACCAGTTTGTATGTGGTGGAAGAAAGAAAAGTAGAATACATTTTTAGTCTAAATCTTTTGGAGAAAACCTCAGCAACTCCAATGAATACTTTTTCTTCATTCTTTCAGCAACAGAGTATAAGCAGAATTAACAATCTGCACTGGAGTGGTATCATTTGCTTCTTGAACAAGTAACTTGCCAATAACTGTAATCATAGTAGTTACTGTAACTTAATTGACGTTCATTATATGTCTATATGCAGCCACTGCCAAGTTAAGCTCATTACAACACACTGGCTTCTTGAACTCTTCTGCAGATACTGGTAAGTATACACAGCTGGTGCCTACTAACTGAACCACTAATGAAGGTCCCAAACCATGGTAAGAAGCTTGTTGAAAATATATATTAGCTCCTCAGCTGTGCTGAAAACAGTAACTTACTGCTCATGAGCAGTGATTTTTATTATTTCTTAAGTGGCTCTAACAATATTTACTTCCGAAGTCAATACAGCACAGCTAGATTGCACTATGCAAGGACATTAAGCAATTCCTGGAAATGTTCGAGGAAACACTCAAGGTCAGGTTGGACGGGGCTCTGAGCAACCTGATCTAGTTGAACATGTCCCTGCTCATTGCAGGGGGGTTCGACTAGATGACCTTTAAAGGTCCCTTCCAACCCAAACTATTCTATGAACGTTGCTTTTCAGGACTGCATTGTGCAGCAGTAAGTTCCAGCAAAGCTCCACAGCAACCACTTCTCTAAAGCCCTAAGTCTCAGTTTTGCTTCCAAAGTCCATCTCAGGGCCCACCCAGGCTGGCTCCCACACCACTGATACAAACTAGTTAAACAGTCTAGTGCAAGGTTTACTAAACAGAAGGGTAAATAGGAGCCAGAGGAGATGGGTACCATTGTTGCCAGTAACACATCCTGTCCCCAGTCCGTTCCCTCTCGCCTCTCAGGATTGTACTAACACAAGCTGCTCTGACAGCAAAAGCCCCACTCCTGCCTGCTACGGAATTTGAGTAGAAATTAAAGGTTTAAAACAATTCAAAGCAGCTGCTGCCATAAGAAGTCTCATCTGACAACTGTATTCTACACAAGATTCAAAATCATGAAGGCATGTTTTATCTAATCAAGCCATGAAGCTTGCCCTGCCAACATGCCAGTAGCAGGGACAGGAACTCCATCACATTTTACAAGCCACTGCGTTCAAAGTGACTTCTCTGAGACTTGCTCCATCTCAAGTTTACTATACATCGTAAGAAAAATTTCATTTATTGAAATAGTCTCTGTAAAATCTGCAAATAAAGTCATTAATGAAGTATGCACTAACTGAAAGTGAGGTTTTTTTGTTGTTGTGGGGTTGTTGTTGTTGTTTTGATTTTTTTTTTTTTTAACCTCAGGGTACAACTACTTTTCACTTCATTTGAATTAAAAAGAGGATTTAATTATATGATTAGATCATGCACACCAACAGTTATGGTTAAGCAACTAGGGTGCTGGTAAGCTCACAGGCAAGCTTCATTGATGATTGTACATCCCCAGCTTCAGACAGAAGAGTTCTAAACAAGTATGAAAATGAAAAAGCTACTATAAAACATGGTTTAGGATCACTGGTGCAAAGCAATCTAACCCTATATTCTTGAGTCCGAGATGGATTAAAAGACCTGCAACCTGAACATAAAATGGGAAGTGTTCACTACAAAAGAAAACAGATACACCCTCGATAACAAGAGATAAATTACAAAAAATTTGAACATGTTATGCCATTCCTATGAAATCAGCAACATACCAGCAGCACAAAGGCTATACTGTTATTTCAGGATGTTTCTGATATGCAGTCACATGAAACAAATTCTTGAGTGACATTTCTCCCATTCTTGATCATATTTATGACATATTACTTATTTTATTTGCATGTTCTTACAGCAACTACATGAAGAGATGTGTAGAGAGGTAATGATTTTCAAACAGTGATAAACAATGATTGCCCTGGGAAAGAAGGAAAAAAGCCTGGCTAAAAGCAGTGTCAGAAAAATACTATAACATGAAAACCTACCAAAAACAAATCCAAGAAGGACTGCTTGGTATAAACGTTGAAGTAACTATGACATAAAGGGCCTTGTCTTTGCTACGCAGAGCACTTTTAAAGTGTCACAGGGTTAAAAACATACACGTATGTGCAAGTATTGTTTTATACACATACATAATATCACAAAATCTATAGAAACAGATTGTTTTTAAAGCTGCAAAATAGTTCACATTTCTGAATATATGACTTCTGGTGAAAACTTAGTTCACAAAGCAAGTATTTTCAATACAGCTGGCTCTGCATTTTGCCCCATTTCACCTCAGGAAGCTGTGTAGTCTGCACAGACTCCTGAAGCGAGGCCATCACTGTGAGAAGCCCCTGGCACAGGAGTCTGATCTAAATACAGGAACTCATGTTCTCCTTTCAGCTCCACAGCCCTACTACGCACTTTGTTGGACTCTGCACAGGCATTGCTGAGGCCTAATTTGTTCTTCCCAACTATGTCCTCCAACTGAGCTAAGTGTGCCAGCCTGACTGAAATCCGAATCTACACATTTTAGGACCCTTTTGCCTTCAATAAGTGATGTTGTAACTTTTTGCAGAAGCAGTCTTGCAAACCTTCCTTGCTCAAAAAATTCCAAAAAGCAGTAAGAGATTAAAAGCAACTGAGTAATTTTCAAAGCACTACTAAAGCAGAACTTGGATTTTTAGATGAACAGCAATATTACTTTGTCTCTCCCTGGCCATGTACAGCAAAAGAGGAAAGCAGGGCTAAATATTTACAATGCTATTAAAATGCAGGAGCCAAATCATGAGCAACTTCAAAGACTGATACAGTGAAAGAGGTTACATCTACATTTTTAGGACCAGCACATCAACCAGTAAGCACAAATTTGATGTATGTTTGGACAAGCCTGTTTAAAATACTTTGACTACTCAAAACTGCCATTATTATAGACACTTCCATGAAATTGGACATGGAGAAAAACAATGTGCCAACCAATAACACAGAAACCTGCGATTAAGAATGCATTCACACCTCGTAATAAAGCTTTTGAAGCAGCTTATCAAGGTGTGTAGTACCAACAGTGTAATAGACATAGATCACATGCAAAACGAAAACTGGGAGGAAAAGACTTGTGCCCCTTCTGAAGCTGCCATACTACACTGTTTATTAGAAAACTGCATTGTAAAGAAATTTATGTTGTCCAATTCTGAAGATGCAAACAGGTTAAAGAGTAGCACTTCTGAACCACAACGAAACCTACCTTTACCATCTTCAGAACATGTTGTGGCTGTTAAGTCTTGCCTAGCAATAGACATTGGCAATACTTTTCTGGCAGAAATGTTTTCAGTATTGGTGGCAGCAGAAACTGTGGCACTTGCGGTTGAAACATTACATGCGCTTTTGCTCATGGCTCCGTCAAAGTTCATCTCATCTGTGTCAGAATCATCTGAATGAAGAGGATTAGTAAAACAGAGGGGTGCTCGAACAGAAATAGTAGTATGATCAACATTATCACTGGAAGGATGTTCAACTGTGGTGTTTGATACCAGAGAAAGAGTTTTAACACCATGACATAAGATGTCTGAAGACATGTCTTCAGACACTGATGTACGCAGTGCATTTTCAGGCCCATGCAGTGACCACGTGGCATGTCCCTTTTCTGTCAGAGGCAGACGATCTGGTCTTAGTGGAGTATCAGAAACCTGCTGACTCTGCAGACTTTCTAGTGACGGTATTAAGGCTGTGCTAGACTGTGGCACGCTGCATTCCATACATGAGTTTTGAGAAGCATCTACAAATGAATCCCCTGAAATCTGTTCCTGTGATTTAAAGCTCTTATCAACTACACAGGATGACACAGGCTTAATTTTAATTGCATGTCCCCTATTCAATAGGGAGTTGCCATCAAAGCTTCGTGGTCCCTCCTGAAGAGGTACCTTCTTGATTTCAAAACTTAAGTTGCGCTCCAGCCTTTTCTCTGCACGTTCACTGGGTTCATTCTTCCCTGAATGTTCTGTTGACTTATTATAATTCTCATTGAGGTCTGTTGAATGCTCTGACGAAACCATGTGCAAAACTGGCTTTGGATGGTATCTATCATTGTCCTGCCACACAGTAGTGACTGTTGGATAAGCTGATGGGGGAGACGGTGTTAAGATTGGTGGTACTGGCTGAGGCTCTGGAGGCTGCAATATTTCTTCTTTAGCATCTCCTTCTACAAGGCAACTGCAAAAAAACCAAAATACAATTGTGTAAATTTTCTGTATTTTGACAATATTTTAGATATCTATCCATCTATCTCTGCAGTAGTAATGCTTTCATACCAATACTGAACTCCAAGCAGTGCTTCCGCTGCATACAGACAATGGTTATAAAATATGACTAATGGGGTAGGCAAGAACTAAGTCAATACACCCAATCGTCTTTCAGAATATCACAAAGACATGCATTCAGGCCACAACTAATCCTCGTTGGTAGTTCAAAGATTGCTCACATCCTTTCTCAGAAGGATTTTTTCAGACTCTAAGAAAGGCCCTCTTGTGGCAGGATTTCAGTACTTTTTTGCTTTCTTCTTTCTTAAGAAGTGGCTCAGAGGAACTCAACATATGGAATTCAATTTTCAATAAAGCCATGAAAAATTTCTTTAAAAAGCCCTACAGCCTGCTTAATACCAAATATCTTCCTTTATTTTTCTTTTCTACACATGACCAGGAGAATTTTATTTTTGTATTTGTGTATTTAATAGTTTCTCCATAGTTGTACGGCTAATGATGCAGACCAAGTTTAGCTGACATGAGGTGCACACTGTATAAAAACCATTTACAGTAGAATATATGATCCAAATTACAGTGCATATTAGCAAGACCACAGCACTTATTATTACAGTTCATCTTAAGCTACTTAAAAGGAGAAGCTCTTCAAGCATATGGCCAATTTACTTTCAGATTAGGTGCAGAATACTTGACTGCAAACATTTTGCACAACTTAGCAAGGTCTTGTCTACAAACAGGAATTAGGCATTTTCATTCAGAGCCTTTAAAAATATTTCTTTTTATTATATAAGACTAGTAACAGAGTAATAATTGAGGTGCAAAACAAATGTGTGACAACAACAGAAGTACAATGAAATAATTTAAAGAAATGATACTTTCAATCCAGGCAGAAAAAGCAAAGCACAATGGACTATGGTTTGCAATGGAGTGCGATTTGGCCATGTGCTTGAGCTGAGAAACCAGCCCATTTTATGTACAAAGCTCAGATCACTTCCTGCTGTTGGCAGAGATGTCACAGAATCATGGAACAGTTTGGGTTGGAAGGGACCTTTAAAGGTCATCTAGTCCAACCCACCTGCAATGAGCAGGGACACCTTCAACCAGACCAGGTTGCTCAGAGCCCCGTCCAACCTGACCTTGAATGTTTCCAGGGATGGGGCATCTACCTCTCTGGGCAACCTGTGCCAGTGTTTCACCACCCTCATCATAAAAAATTTCTTCCTTCTATCTAGTCTAAATCTACCCTCTTCTAGTTCAAAACCATTCCCCCTTGTCCTGTCGCAACAGACCCTGCTAAAAAGTTTGCCGCCATCTTTCTTATAAGCCCCCTTTTAAGTACTCATCACTGACCTCCATCTGCACATTGAGCTGTTGACCACTACCCTCTAGGTGCATCTATCCAACCAGTTCCTCACCCACTGGACAGTCCACCCATCAAATCCATATCTCCCCAGTTTAGAGAGAAGGATGTTGTGGGGGACCGTGCCAAAGGCCTTGCAGAGGTCCAGATAGGCGACATCAGTGGCTCTTCCCATATCCACTGATGTAGTCACTCCATCATAGAAAGCCACTAGGTTGGTCAGGCAGTACGTGCCCTTGGTGAAGCCATGCTGGCTGTCTCAAATCACCTCCCTGTCCTCCATGTGCCTCAGCATAGCTTCCAGGAGGATCTGTTCCATGATCTTCCCAGGCACAGAGGCGAGACTGACTGGTCTGTAGTTCCCCAGGTCTTCCTTTTTTCCCTTTTTGAAAATGGGGGTTATGTTTCCGCTTTTCCAGTCAGCGGGAACTTCACCAGACTGCCACGACTTCTCAAATACGATGGATAGTGGCTTAGCAACTTAGCAATTTGGGGGACAA